TTACATGGTGTAGTGTAGACACTTACATTTATAATACATCCATTGGCTACTGGCTACATGGTATCGTTAGTGACATTTATAATACATCCATTGGCTACTGGCTACATGGTATCGTTAGTGACATTTATAATACATCCATTGGCTACTGGCTACATGGTATCGTTAGTGACATTTATAATACATCCATTGGCTACTGGCTACATGGTATCGTTAGTGACATTTATAATACATCCATTGACTACTGGCTACATGGTATCGTTAGTGACATTTATAATACATTCGTTGACTACTGACTACATGGTATCGTTAGTGACATTTATAATACATCCATTGACTACTGGCTACATGGTATAGACACTGACATTTATAATGCATCTGTTGACTACTGGTCTAATGGTATCGATACTGACATTTATAATACATCCGTTGACTACTGGCTACATGGTATCGTTAGTGACATTTATAATACATCCATTGACTACTGGCTACATGGTATAGACACTGACATTTATAATGCATCTGTTGACTACTGGTCTAATGGTATCGATACTGACATTTATAATACAAATGTTGACTACTGGCTACAGGGTATCGTTAGTGACATTTGTAATACATCCGTTGACTACTGACTATATGGTATAGACACTGACATTTATAATACATCTGTTGACTACTGGCTACATGGTATCGTTAGTGACATTTATAATACATCTGTTGACTACTGGTTACATGGTATCGTTAGTGACATTTATAATACATCTGTTGACTACTGGCTCCATGGTATCGTTAGTGACATTTGTAATACATCCGTTGACTACTGACTATATGGTATAGACACTGACATTTATAATACATCCGTTGACTACTGACTACATGGTATCGTTACTGACATGTATAATACATCTGTTGACTACTGGTCTAATGGTATCGATACTGCCATTTAATGTACATATAGTACACTAACCAGTGTAAAGAGCATGGCAGCTGTTACACACACCCAGGCTGCACGACGGCAGGTCTGCCTGTAGCACTGTCACAGGCTGTTTACATCATTCAGACAACTTACTGTCATCATGCAACCCGTGTTTTGATAACTGCTGTCGGAAGGCCGGACACGGTGTGTACGCAATACAGGCCTCATCCGTTTTATTCTCGAGTCTTCGCTGTTTCTTTTAGATTACCTACTAACTCATCTTTTTATGAGTGAGTGTATTTTTATTAAATTGTGAGTGAGATTAGGTTGGTGATCCTACTTAAAATGTAGTGTTTTCAGAAATTGAATTACTTTTTTTTTATTGTGATGTTAAACTTGATTTTTCGATGAAATATTTAATAACAATAAGATATAGTTATGCCCATATCCCACAGACTCTGGAGACTGTACCAGCTCAGATTTAATTAAAAAGTCTGCTGGAAATTACATTTATATCTTTACAGTTCTGTCTTTTTTCTCTCATAAAACCAGAGACTGATATTTTATTGTTTTTTTTTTATTTATTTACAACCGGGGATCAAATTAACGTTTAGAATCATGAAATTTGTTTCTTAGTGGGCTATTTTTTAATTAATGTCAACTTTAATGGGTTGGTCAGTGGTTAAGAAATAAATAAACTTCTTGAATGAATAAAACTGCCGTAGGTTATCAATTAATTGTAATGAACCAGACGGTGTAGTAAAAAAAAAACAACGAAAACATCCAGCAGTATGCTAGCTAAGGCGGTGACACTTAGAGCTGCCTGTATCGATTGACTCAGTTTGGTTGTAGTTTTTTTATTTAGTTGTCACCCAGGAAATCAAACCTTAATGTCGTACACTCGCTTGAACTGCTAAACCTTTATCCGAACAAGTACGGGACTTGCTGATTAGTTAGTCCATGTTAGGTGGAGCTAGTATGTTTTATATTTGGTTAGGAATTGCTGATTAGCTAAACCATACCATATCAGGTGGAGCTAGTATGTTTTATATTTGGTTGGGACTTGCTGATTAGCTAGACCATGTTAGGTGGAGCTAGTATGTTTTATATTTGGTCGGGACTCATGATGGAGCTGTGAGACATGAATCCTAATGTATGCATTTCTCGATTAGCCGTACCATCTGTGTGTAACACGAGTTTACATGAGAACGATAACTTGAGTTCAGTAGGTTAAGTACAGATTTCATCTTTTCATGTGACCTCGACATTCTACCCCAGCCACTCATACTTTACTGACTCGAGTTAGCTACCTTTCAGATGTGGGTGGGATAAAGGGCGGACTCGATACTGACTCGAGTCGGCTACCCGTCACATGTGGGTGGGATAAAGGGCGAACTCGATACTATACCCGTCACATGTGGGTGGAATAAAAGGCGGAATCGATACTGACTCGAGTTAGCTACCTTTCAGATGTGGGTGGGATAAAGGGCGGACTCGATACTGACTCGAGTCGGCTACCCGTCACATGTGGGTGGGATAAAGGGCGAACTCGATACTATACCCGTCACATGTGGGTGGAATAAAAGGCGGAATCGATACTGACTCGAGTCAGCTACCCGTCAGATGTGGGTGGAATATAGGGCGGACTCGAATACTGAATCGAGTGGGTGGATTTAGATCGGACAAAAAAAAAACTCTACAATTATTTAAATAGCCATGTGCTTTACCCCTCGACTACGCTTGTCTTAAAACTAAGAGACTATAAGGTTTTTAGGCCCAACCTTAGACTAAGAGCTTTGATTTAGATTTTAAAAACGAAACCCTTTAAACGAATATATGGGCACGGCCACTTGCTAACAACCAATTCAGTTCTGACAATCTTTACAACCTCTATTCCCATTTCTATTAATGTTATGGTTGCATTTCTCACCGTCCTGGGTTTTGTCATGTATAAACTGTCACTACATAACAAAAAGAAGCTTAATAGCATTAGCCAACTATAGAGCAGTGCGCAGATGAATATGTGCAGTTTCCGTATACATTAACATGCGATTACGTGCTAACCAGCCAAGCGTGGCGAATGGAAACGGGGCTGTGTGCAGCTTTATTTTTTTATTTTTGGTGATACTTGTGTTAGCTGGTGATACGCTGGTGGTTTTTGTCGTGGTTGGTGACACTTTAGTTAGCTGGTGATACGCTGGTGGTTTTTGTCGTGGTTGGTGACACTTGTGTTAGCTGGTGGTTTTTGTCGTGGTTGGTGACACTTAAGTTAGCTGGTGATACGCTGGTGGTTTTTGTCGTGGTTGGTGACACTTTTGTTAGCTGGTGATACTTGTGTGTGTTGGCTGGTGATACTTGTGTTGGCTGGTGATACTTGTGTTGGCTGGTGATACTTGTGTTGGCTGGTGATACTTGTGTGTGTTGGCTGGTGATACTTGTGTTGGCTGGTGATACTTGTGTTGGCTGGTGATACTTGTGTGTGTTGGCTGGTGATACTTGTGTTGGCTGGTGATACTTGTGTTGGCTGGTGATACTTGTGTGTGTTGGCTGGTGATACTTGTGTTGGCTGGTGATACTTGTGTTGGCTGGTGATACTTGTGTTGGCTGGTGATACTTGTGTTGGCTGGTGATACTTGTGTTGGCTGGTGATACTTGTGTTGGCTGGTGATACTTGTGTTGGCTGGTGATACTTGTGTGTGTTGGCTGGTGATACTTGTGTTGGCTGGTGATACTTGTGTTGGCTGGTGATACTTGTGTTGGCTGGTGATACTTGTGTTGGCTGGTGATACTTGTGTTGGCTGGTGATACTTGTGTTGGCTGGTGATACTTGTGTTGGCTGGTGATACTTGTGTTGGCTGGTGATACTTGTGTTGGCTGGTGATACTTGTGTTGGCTGGTGACACTTGTGTTGGCCGATGATACTTGTGTGTGTTGGCCGATGATACTTGTGTGTGTTGGCTGGTGATACTTGTGTTGGCTGGTGATACTTGTGTGTGTTGGCCGATGATACTTGTGTGTGTTGGCTGGTGATACTTGTGTTGGCTGGTGACACTTGTGTGTGTTGGCTGGTGATACTTGTGTTGGCTGGTGATACTTGTGTGTGTTGGCTGGTGATACTTGTGTGTGTTGGCTGGTGATACTTGTGTGTGTTGGCTGGTGATACTTGTGTGTGTTGGCTGGTGATACTTGTGTGTGTTGGCCGATGATACTTGTGTGTGTTGGCTGGTGATACTTGTGTGTGTTGGCTGGTGATACTTGTGTGTGTTGGCTGGTGATACTTGTGTGTGTTGGCTGGTGATACTTGTGTGTGTTGGCCGATGATACTTGTGTGTGTTGGCTGGTGATACTTGTGTGTGTTGGCTGGTGATACTTGTGTGTGTTGGCTGGTGATACTTGTGTGTGTTGGCCGATGATACTTGTGTGTGTTGGCTGGTGATACTTGTGTGTGTTGGCTGGTGATACTTGTGTGTGTTGGCTGGTGACACTTGTGTGTGTTGGCTGGTGATACTTGTGTTGGCTGGTGATACTTTTGTGTGTTGGCTGGTGATACTTTTGTGTGTTGGCTGGTGATACTTTTGTGTGTTGGCTGGTGATACTTGTGTGTGTGTTGGCTGGTGATACTTGTGTGTGTTGGCTGGTGATACTTGTGTGTATTGGCTGGTGATACTTGTGTGTGTTGGCTGGTGATACTTGTGTGTGTTGGCTGGTGATACTTGTGTTTAGTGGTGACGCCTGTGTTCAGTGGTGACGCCTGTCTGATAAACTTACTTCATCGATTTATTTTACCTTCCCTAAGAACGGTCAACGTTCTGTATCCTCGTGTGAAACTACCACACTCAAAGCCCTTTTGTTCCCCTCCCCCCCACAACCGAACAGTAGATGTATGTATCCCAACCGTCGTTTTCCATGTGTTCTCATCGATAGGATTCCCACCGCTTGTCCAGTGTTTTGTCACACTTCACTTCTTTGTTTTCCCACCTCGGCTTCTCTTGGCCGTGTCTTCTGTACAATGGTCATACCTTGAACAAATACCTGCATTGTTCCCCCCACTGATTTAATACAGCAGTTGTTTTTTTTCTTGTTTCAGGCGAATAAATATCCATGACATAGCTTGCCCCCTGATATTGGTGCCCGGTACCGTTAGCAAGGTGAGATACGTGTATCTGGTTTAGTGCTTGGTTGTTGTCACTGGTTGCGATGGTTGAGTGGCTTGAAAACGTGGTTGCCTCATTTCTAAGAAATAACACAAGAGACTTGTGATAGTAGCTTTGTATCGAAACAATCAACAGCACATCTATAGTTCCATCGTATTAGCCTTAATTGTGCCTTAAGGTTTAGAAAAAGTGTTGATTTTTAAAAATAAAATACAATGTCTGCGTTTTACTTTGTGTTTATTTTATGATTATTAACCCCCACTCGACCTTAACGATGACCCTTACATTACACTGATCCCTAATCCACCTCACCAGTAACAGTGACACCCCCCACCCCCTCCACCTTAAGATTAATCCACTGCCCCAACAATTATGCCTCTTCCAACCTTAATAAAGATTCCCACACTACACTTTAAAGACAACCCACAAAACGACCCCGCCCCACCTTAACATATCCCCCTCACCCCACTATTACAACAAAGAAAAAACACTCCACATTATTAATGAACCCTCCATGTTAACAAAGCCACTACACAGAAATGATGAACACACACTCAACCTACATAATGAACTCCACATCACTCTAATCTCCTACTTCACATAGACCCCTTACTCCACCTTAATGAAAGACCCCTCCCACCATAACATGGACCCCCAGTCCCCTTTAATACCTTAACAAAGACACCACTAAACTAAATTAACTCCACTGCACCTACATGATGACCCTCATTTCTCCCCTTACTCTTTCTTAACAAAAGACCCCTCCACCTTAACGATGACCCCCCACCCTCCACCTTAACGATGACCCCCCACCCCTCCACCTTAACCTAGACCAACATTTCTTATAAAAACCGAACTACTTAAACCCGCCAGTGTCACCGGTGTCGTATGTCCAGTGTTCCTTGTCCGCTGTCACAGGTCATTATCTACCTTTCTATCCCACTTTCCGTTGATGTTATCCCACCTGTCTATCCCACTGCCTGAGTTCCTGTCACCTCACCTGGCTGATTCACAAGGTTCCATATTCCACTCACCTCAGCGTATGGATTAAAAGGGGGGGGGGGAGCACACAATAGAATCGGTGTAACATAATGGTCTTGCGTGCTGTTGCCATAGTAACAGACCTCGCCCCGCCCCATTGACCACCGTCTCGCTCTATTGACGAACGCGTTTTTTTAAAAACCCAGCCTAAAACTAACCAACCGTGGATGAAATTTGACACGGATGATCAACGCAAATAACACCCTACTCTTATTTCATGCTTAATTTCCTAACTTTATCGAGCTTGTGTAACATAAATAATGTGTACGACTAGACTGGTTTGCTTGAATCAACACAACTGATTGAAAAGATACGTCTTATTTCTGAAGCTGAGTGCGTTTGTCGATGTCCTGGAGTCAGAATGACATATAGAAACTGTAGTGCCGGTTTTATGCTATAGAAAAATACTAGTGGTTGGGTTAAGTTTAAGGTGAGGGTTAGGATTCTTACACGATATTTGAGTTTGGGTAATAGTTACATTCTCTAAGTAATGCCACTAAATACGATAGTTAATTATAGAGTAAAAACACCTGATACAAGAAATACTTCGCTTATTAAAACAGATCGAGTAAGTAAAAATTTCTTGTATACAAATAATTGAACTAGTTCACGGTTATTTTGATCACCACTTCTCTCACCCCCCCCCCCCCTTTCCACACACACAGTCAAATACTTTGTACAGAGTAAAAACTTGAACATAAAAAAAAAGCGTACCGACTGTATAGCCAGTAGCAAACCCTTCCCCCCTACTGGTGTGGTACCCGTTTCCATTCCAATCTGCCCGGGTCTGAGCCCCTAGAGGGCACGCCAGGAAAGCCCGGCCTCATTAGCAAGGGGAACTCACTCGTGTGCATTGGACCCGGCGTTTCATGGCTCTGCCCGCAGCCATGCTTGAGCGGACACGTCCAATCAAATCAGGTTTTTTTTTCTCCTCCCAGTCCTATGGTTTGTCTACCCCCCCCCCCCTACCCACAATCTCGTATGCCTTATTAAATGTCTAACTAAAAAAAACACTTCTTGTCTAGCTAGTTGAAAACCTGTTTTAGACAAATTATAAACACCCACCACTTTTTACTACCCCCACCTTTTTAAAACGTAGTATATATAGCTTACCCCCCCCCCCCCCTCCAATCCTACCCAGCAACAGCTGATACGTTTAAAATATAGTCCGCCGCCTACCCCGCCCTCTCACCTATTAACCGATACGTTTAAAAAAAGAAATATACTCCTCGTCAACATTAAATAGATGTAAAGTATACTTCACTTCCTCAATATTTTATACGTTTAACATAAAGTATAGATCCCATCCTCCTGGGCACCTTTCTCCTGCACAGGTTCCTCTCAGTTCCTCCACTCTCTCACTCTTTTACGCCTCACGTCTCCTGTTATTTTCTGCGCGTTCTTTCAGCCGGAGATAATGGTGAAGCAAGACGGTGAACGCGCGCGCGTGTGTGTGTGTGTCTGTGTGTGTGCACGTGTGTGTCTGGCTGTATGTCGGCCATGGTGATCAATTTCTCCCCAAATCATCAACTCTGATGGTATGACGTTGTTCGGCCTGTGACACTCGGCGGGGCTAAAGTCGGATCGCGGAGTTTTTTCTTCTCTTTCTGTGTTGTTTTTTTTTTTTTTGGATTCTCTCTGGGACGTATGTTGGAGCGTGGTTTTCTAAGTGGGATAGAAGGTGGGAAACAAGGGCAGGCAACTCACGTCACCTCAGTTGGCGGTGACGTTCACCTATGGTGGTAAGTGGACAGTGCTTGTTGATAAATCATTCTTCTGAACGGGTGTCTAACGTAGAGATTTGTTCGCCAAAGTGAATTGAACAGTTCATTGTTTACATTGCTTTGTTTGCAGGTGATATGTGACTTCGATTTTTGACTGTTAAATTACATAAAAACTTTAATACTATTTTTTAGAAAAAGAAACGAAGTGAAACTATTTGTAAATAAAAAAAACGTCCAAGAACTTTTTACATAGAAAACAGCTTTTAGATATTCGTTTTATCATTTTTACTTTCTCGTATATACGTAGTATAGAGAAAGTATTGTAATCGTGCAAAAAAAAAAAATCGAGATTTTTACAAATCTCGACGTTTTACACCTCACTGATACGGAAAAACATAATTTTGCAATCTTGTCCGTATGTCTGTGTGTGTGTGTGTGTGTCTGTCTGTGTGTCCGTGTGTAAACACGATAACTTGAGTACCGTTACTGCTAGGTTGATGAAATTTCATATATAAGTATTTTATCAAAATCGTAGATCCGTATCAACTTTTGAGCGATTTCCGATAACCGGAAGTGGTACTTTTTCTACTTTGAATTTTTCAAAAGCCTATAACTTGAGTACTATTTCAGATAGATAAATGAAATTTCACATGTAAGTAAAAGATCTAATTCTCTACCTTCTGTTAAATTTTGAGTAATTTCCGTTGACCGGAAGTAGTAATTTACGCTACTTCCGATTTCTCGAAAAAACTAATGTAAATTTTAAAAGTACTAATAATATTGCGCACTATTATGCGCTTTTTTATTTCGCGTTCACTTGGTGTGCAATTAATTTGTCTACGAGATTTTATTCTATTTTTAAAACTTTAAGTATTTAAAATGGATTAAAAATCATGTCTATAGCCCGAGTTCCCATCCCCTGTTATTTTATATAAAAATATTCGAGAAAGTTTAGGGGAGATCACTCCCGGTTTATTTGTTCAGCAGTGCGTGTAAACTGAATGTTTTAACCAAATTAAATTTGAAATAGCGGTACATATTTTATTAGATAATACAAATTTCTCTCCAATTCTCTCTATCTCTCTCTCTCTCTCTCACATGCTTTCCCTCCCTGCTCAAAGTGAATTTGTATGTATACGATTGACGGGCCTATAGACATACTTTTATATCATTTATTTTTCTAGTGATAAAATTTTCATATCGAAATTCTGTAATAATCAAACCGCAAGGGATTAAAAATAAACCGAGAACGCTGCTAATACATGTGTGTGATGAATATTGAATGGAAATCTTGTAGTTAAAGAGTTATTTGAACGCGTATGTGAACTGGTTCGTTAAGTAAGTAGATCTCTAAATGGCGGTTGCCAATTGATCGTTGGTCAGTTAGACATGAACATACCTTCTGTTCTTGACTTTATTACTGTCTTCAATAGTCCTGAGAGATGCGTTGTTAAGACGTTTCGTGTACTATGCTTGAAGAATTGTTTTTTTCTTAATTCGTCTTTTCCCGGCTATTGTCATTTGTCTATTTTACAAATATACTAGTGTTGTAAAGATTTTTCGTGTACTGTGTTGAAGAATTGTTTTTTTTTCTTGATTCATCTGTTATTTGTCTATTTTACAAGTGTTGTAAAGATGTTTCGTGTACTGTGTTGAAGAATTGTATTTACCTCAATTCATCTTTTCTCTGCTATTGTCATTTGTCTATTTTACTAGTTCTGTTTGCTAACAGCATCCACTACTCAGTGGTACATTCCTGTACTAGCCCACTCTAGCACCCCTGTTTTCGGACTTAGTTGTGTTTGTTGACTCTACTCAGCGCTTTCTCGGCTTTCTGTACTATCCCGCTTAGGCACCTCTGTTTTCTTAGTTCTCTATCTCTTGTTTCTGCAACTATGCGATCATTATCACCCCCTCCCTATTTCTCTTTATAATAATCAGTAATGAACAGCTTGGGTTAAATTTGTTGAGTTTACTATTTGTATAGGTATTGTTTTTGAATGCTAAGTCTGGTAGACGTGATCAAGACCTCTGGATTATTCATAAAATGAACACTTGTCATTATTTTGATATCCACTGATGTTCGTTTTTTTTTTGAGACAATGAATGCTGTCGAATATCAAAGTTTACGTACTTATAGAATGTCGTCAAAATGTCGAAACGTTTGACTTATAAAGTGTTTTCTATTAGTCCGTGTCAGTTATGTACCACCTAGTGGGCCAGTGATCA